TTTCTATACTTATTTCTTTTTTTTTAAAAAGATTAAAGTTTAAATTTATTTAGGAAAAAAATAAAGATTGTGAAAATATTGATTTATAATTAATTGTGATTCTACTATTCTATTTACATTTAGTATTAATCATTATATATATATATGTAATTATATAATTATAATAATAATTAATAATTATTAATTATATAAATATAACAATTATATATATATAACAATTATATATATATAATACTAATAATTATATATAATTATATAAATATTGATCAAATTTGCATTAAAAATTATATTTATTTAATAAAATCTAAAATCTAAAATCTATCTTATCGTTTAAATTTGAAAATTTAGTCGGCATTATATTTACATTTGCGATGTTTGATTTTGCCTACCGAATTGTTTATCGATCGAGGAAAGGTTAAGTCAGTTTCGCTTCGAACGCCGTACCGACTACACGGATATAATTTCGATTCCATATATAATTCAAAATTGTGTTTCGCATTTAAAAATTTATTCGCTAGTATAATAATAATAGTTTTGTAAATTTCATTCGTGAATATCGATACATTTTTTTATTATATAATTTTATTATATAAAAAAATTATTATATCATATGTTATCGATCAATGATATGTTTTTTAACACGAATGATTAATTTACTTTTTAAATATATAATAAATACAATAATTATGATTTTTATGTAAAAAGTATTTCGTTTATTTATTATTGATTTCGTAATTTAAAAATTATTCTATTGTATTTCGTATTTAATAATTATAAGTTTCGATTTTAATTTTTATTTTTATTGTTATTTTTCATTTAATTTTTGTTACTATTCTAATTTTAATTTTACACTTTTAATTAATTTTTTAATTGATTCGATATTTCATATTTTTTATATTTCCATTTCAAATGTTTCAAAATTTGATATATTTTAAAAATTTTATTTTCATATTTAATTAGAATATTCTATTGTTATTTTATTAGAATCGTAAATATGAATTTTAATATCGAAATAAAATCGAAAATTTAACGTTTAAATATATTGTTTGTTAACCAATTAGAAGCGCCCTAGGCGAATCTGTGGCGCGTGGCGTCATTCTTCTCTCGAAAATCATCGCGACAGGATGTATCGCCGGTCGAATTTGCGTAACCTCGACTACGCAGTAAGTAATTTTATTCGTATATTATTATCAAATTTATAGATTATTATTAATTTCGTTTATTTAATAATCTGTTAGACGTTGTAACAATAAAATTACTTTGTGTTTTTGTCTTCGATTAATTATTTGATTGTTGAGGTTACCGGTAACTTGTATTGTCTTTCAATCGAAAATTTCAGTTCAGTTACATTTTCACTTACTTTCACTTTTTACATTTTTTTCGTTGTTTCTTTATTTATGATTTTTATTTCAGAATTATTTAGAATTTAGTTTAGATTATCGTTTGATTGCCGAGACGTCGAAGAAATATTACGATTTATTATCGATGATTTATCTGTACATCAGATAATATTTTATTTTTTTCACATAAATAGACTAGTATTTAGAATAGATTTTTATTGCTTTTATTCATATTAAAACAAATATATAGTATTTAGTTAATCACAATCATATTATTTCGTCGTAAAATTAAATTATTAAACGATGTTACATGTGTTTACGATGTTACGATACGTGTTTCTAAATACGTCTTTCTGTTTTGTTTTGTTTATATATTTATCTTTCTTTCGTTTATGTTATACTTGAACCATTCGAAACATTATTTATAATTAATTTTGGAAAATTGTATTTGCGTCGTATTCGATATATTTCGATTTGTCGAATATTATCGAGATCTACATATCCTTCTTCTCAATTCGATAATCGAAATCGCGGCGCGAGATGTCATTATAGTTTCGATAATTGTAGTGCTTAGACGTGTCATTTTTCCTGTGTGAAATGTGTAATTTATCTGTGTTCTAGTATATAATTTATTGGTTAATATATGATTATTCTTTGTTGTTTATATATTTATTTAATGCGTATTTCTTTTTATAAAAAAAATTCTTTAATAATGTTAAATTATTCTTTTTTTTTTATTCGTTTATGTGACGGTTAGAATTGCAGCGTACGAACAAAAAGTAGCTCACATTATGACTTTCTAAAATGGAATTTGTGCTTGATTATTGTTTTATTTCAATATAATCGATGAATTCTATTCATTTTTAAATGTTTATTTGAAAATTTTGATTTTTTTATACAGGTTATTAACTGATTAAGTGTAACTTTGAAGGCGGGAAAAATTCCAATATGGACGCTATGGAGACGCAATAAAATTTGATATTTTGTGATCGCGCGCAATGCGATCGTTAGAGTTAGTTTTTACTTCGTAATAGTGAATTATAATATTCTTTCATGAAAATAGAGTCAGTGTTTGTTCGCCGATTATAATTTAAACGAACGTGTTAATAGTTTTTTATTTATTATATATTTTTTTCTTTTTTAAATATTCGTTTCCATATATATTCGATTCAGTGTTTCGAAAAAAGAATAAAGCGATCATCCATCACGCGAAGAGGTTATTATCTTTATATTATTATATTTATCTTTATTAAAAATTTTTATTTATTATAATTTTTTTCAAATAATTAATTCTGTATTTTTAATTATAACATTCTATGTTTTGTTGTAGATATTTTTAATGATGAATAAATATCGATGGCAATGTTCTTCGCATCTAATGGTGAGTCGCATGCATTTTTATTCCTCTGGTCATTCAATCATGTTGTAGGATGAAAGATCCGAATCAACACGAATGACTGGTTGTATACGTAGATTTTTTGTACGAGCACAGTGACCGCGAGTATTATACTCGTGAATAGTAACATTTTGTATTTTTTTTGCATTTTATTTATTAGTTCAGGATAGGTCTTTTTGTGCATCGCGTTTTTGAATGTTAATTAATTTTGTAATAATAATACATTAATATAATATTTCTAAAATCATCATATTATTATCTTGAAAATTATTATTATAATTTATTCCTTTCGTTCAATAAATCTTATGTACAAGAAGACATTTCGCGATAGATAGATTTCAGAATCAAAGCAACGAATTTTAAATATTTTTGTATTTTTTCGAATATATGCTTTGATTAAGAGATCGTCTAAGGATATTTTTATTAATATTTAATTTATGTATCAGTTATTTTATTTTATTTATCGTTAAAAAATTTATATTCTTTTTTATAAAAATTTTCATTATTTAATATTAAATAATTAAAGAATATTAGATCGTTAGATACAAAATAGATGTATTAATATTTTTTTTAGCTTAGGATTTTCAGATTTAATCCTTTCCATGTTCATTGCCAAGATCTCTTTCACATGCCCAGGTGCTACTTGAATGAGAAAAAGGCGATGGGCATGATGATCATAGTTCATAAGTTTATAATAATTTTTCAGCGATTGACGATTTGTTAGTGTATCGTGCACGACGTATTTTCCACATTATGTATGTGTGTGTGTGGTTAGGTTGTGGAATTGCGTCGTTTTTATTATTCCACTCATAATTATCAATCGAATTATTATTTATTTTATTTTTAAATTATTAAACGATGGTATCAAAATTTGGTATCCTTTAAAAGATATACATATTCTTTCGATTATATATAAGAGAACAATTGAAATTGATATTTTATTACGAATCACGCAATGATTGCTAGCCATCGTCAATCGATTTCAGAAAAATGGTACGTAAACTTAGAGTATGCGAGTCGTGTGCCAAGCTCGGGTGTCGGAGGCGTCCCGGGACGCTCTCCCTAGTGTAGGTTTTTTGCGCCTGGCTGTTATGTGTGAGAACCGTGGAGTGAATGTGTTGGAATGTTTGTTTTGCAATTTTTTAAATATAGGTCTAGGTAGGATAGGTAGTATACTTCTGGTGTGTCTGTTTAACTGTAAGTAGGTAGGGCCGGGCAGATTGTCATGGTCTCTGATCGGGTAGGCGCGTTTTCGCGTGACAATCTGTTTCAGGAAATATAATTTGAAATATCGAGAATGAAGCTGAGACGAATGATCGTTAATGGTCATTTGTTTCTGGTTTTATTTATCGATTTTTCGAATTTCGCGATCGCGATCGCGAAGTAAATTTCGAAACGAACGTTGTGCTCGAGATTCACTTAGATTCCATAATTTAGTTTTTTTTTTGCGATTAGCGAATCTCGAGCCTAGATTTAAGTTTCAGCGAGCATTGCGCTCGAAGAAAGAAAACGAAGAGGCCCGACAAACTGTCGCGAAGAGGGCTGCAGCGAATGGTTTCTCATCTTTTGGATCTTGTTTCGGATTCAAAGAATGGGAAGCCATTGTTATTATTTTGTCACTGTGCTCGTTTTAGTAGTAATACGTAGTAAATGTTTTTGCATTGATTTGGCCAATTGCATGCTGGCCTATCGAATTTAATCATCGTGAACATCGCGATTTTTCATTAGTGTTGCGATTGATTAATGACGGGTTGAATTGCGTTTAACAAATTTCGTGTTTTTTTTTTAAATTATTTTATATTTATTGCGACTCGCGATTACGGGATATGTAATATTTTTTCATAAATTTTTATTAAAATTTGAAAGATTAGTATTGCGATATTTATATATTATTTGGTATATTAATATTGAAAATAGAAAAAATATTGCACATTTATTCAGATATTGAATGGATGATTATATTTTGATAGCTTGGCTATCTTTTTTTTTTGTCTTTTTCTTTTCAGCATTTCAATCGAGGAAGCTTTAAGTGTTTCAAACACTGAATACTAGAGGACGTAACATTTATCTTTTAAGGTCGGTATCTTAGAACATTTCACTTCTCTTGAAACTTATATGTATAAGTCGGTATTACTTACCTACTTACGGTAGGTATGGTAGCTCTTGACATTGCCAATAGAGTAGAGATCGTTGAAATTCTGTTTTATCGACTTTTGACAATAGTTGTCAAAAAGTTCGTTAGGAGCGCTAGTATCGCACGGTAGATTGAATTGCAATTAAAAGTTGCCAAAATTATAGGTATTAAAACGATAATAAATATGTATAATGTTAGACGTAATACGTAATTTTGACGACGTAAAATTACGCAATAATAAACCGTACAAAATCTTAATTATAACAGATAATAGTCATTAAAAAATTCCCGAATACGATCCCTCTTTATTCGTATGAAATATTTCTAACGTTTGGAATGTACATTTCAAAAGAATTCCGAAACTTTAATGGTCTCGTTTTAACGGCATCGATACGTTACGTTAATATCAGGGTGTAGACGCAGAAAGGGCGTTTTCTGTCGGATCGAGGGATGAGGTCGAGAACGATGATTCCTTCCTGATTCGGTCGTAAGGAGAAAGAAAAACGCATCGAGATCGATTGGAATTAAAAAGGAAGGAAAGAAGAAGACTGGAGAAGCAACAGGGAGAAAGGAGAGAGTAAGTAAGTTGGGCAGAGGAGGAGGGATGCGAAAAGGGAGGAGAGAGATCGAAAAGCAGGAGCGTAGGAGGAGGTTGAACGAAGAAGGAGGTTGGACGAAGAAAAGGGCAAAGATTTTGGCACCCCGCTGAGTCCCCTAATTGCCTCGCCATCCTTCCCTCGAAACGTCCAGCACGCCCTTGAACCCTCTCCTCGGTCCACCTAACTCGGCCCTAAAAGCCTACCGAGACCCCGAACATCTCCGTTCCTCTCCTATCCCTTCGCTCCTCTTCGCGATCTTTCTCTTTCTCCTCGTCTACCACACCTTTCTCCTCAACCAGGACGCTGAATAAGCAACATCATCTATCACACTGCGCGAAACGATATATTTGTTTTCGCCGGACCTGTTTAATTATTTACATTCAGCCCCCAAGTGGAACCGTCCACTTTCTCGCTTCGCCCCTTCCCTCGCTTTTGTCCCGCGTCTTCTGGT